TGTTAAGCATGCCCGTGAGTCTTATGTTGTGATTAATGTGACTTCGTTGTATGGTTCATGTTTAATGTGGTGATTGCTATTGTTGAGCAAGGTTTGTGGAAAGAATATTGGTATGTGTATATTGAAGAGCATTGGCTCAAGTGCAAAGTGATTTGTGAAAGTATAATTAGCAATTGAACCTTATAGAGCATTGGCTCAAATTGTGAATCAAGTTGTGAGATAAATGTGAAAATGAGAAAGGGTTTATGGTGTTGATCCCTTGCCGGGAAGTTGTTGTTTTAATGTTGTTCCCTTGCCGGGATGTTGTGGTTTTGATATTGTTCCCTTGCCGGGATTTTTATTATGATTCATTTATTCTTTGCCCTTATTGTTTGTGTTTGTCGTTTGGGTGAGGAAGAGTGTAAAGCACAAAGGGTGATGTTGTGCATTATTTTGGCGAGAGAGTGTTAAAGGACGAAGGGTGATGCCGTGTATTATTATTATAATTTGTGAGGAAGAGTGTAAAGCACGAAGGATGATGTCGTGCCGCACGATATACCATTCCGTGCCGATTATATTGATATTGTGGTGAGGATGAGAGTAAAAGCACGAAGGGTGATGTCGTGCAGTTTATATTGATTTTTTTTATGGTGAGGGCGAGAGTAAAAGCACGAAGGGTGATGTCGTGCACTTGTTTGGTTCTGATTCTTGTTGATAAGTGAATTGTGGTATTCCATATATTTAACTGTTGTCCTTCTGTTGCTAATTGGTATTTCCCCGCAATATGTTTCCCCCTCCCATCCTTGACTGTATATTTCTGCTTTTATTTTCCGCTGTACATTATTCATCTGCACAGTATATTTGGTAGTCTGGTCCTAGCTTCGTCACTACTTCACCGAGGTTAGGTTAGGCACTTACCAGCACATGGGGTCGGTTGTGCTGATACTACACTCTGCACTTTTTTGTGCAGATCCCAATGCTGCAGATTTTGGACCGCAGTGAGGTTTCAGCTTCTTGCTTATCAGGCGACCCGAGGTAGTCCTGCAGGCGTCCGCAGGCCTTGGCGTCTCCCTCTATCTATTTTCCTATTTCTTTTATGTAGTCCCAAAGATAGTATTTTGTTATTTCTTTCAGACCCTTATTTGTAGTACTCTTAGACAGTGTATGAAGTTGTGACACCAAATCTTGGGTAGTTTTGGTAAAGAATTGTATTAGCAGTATTTTTAAGTTTGAAATTTAAATCTTCTGCTCGATAAATTATGCTGTTTATTAATTGTTGGTTCTAAGTTGTTAATGAATTAAAGATGGAAACAAGTCAAATAATTCAGTTAGTTGGCTTGCCTAGCTTTCACTAGTAGGCGCCATCACGACTCCTGAGGGTGGAAAATCCGGGTCGTGACATTGTAGCTTGTCTATTTTTTGTAGAGCTTGTAAATTTATTGTAGATATATTGTTGAAACGTTGTAGTTTGTATGTATATGTCTTCCTCTGCATTCATGCAGCCAATTAATTGCTTTTTGCCACATAATGTAGGTACCATGTTACCATTGGCATATGCTGTTGTTGATTCAGAAAATGACGCATCATGGATGTGATTTTTTGAGCAATTCAAACATGCATATGGTGAAAAACCAAATATGTGTGTTGTTTCGGATCGGAATGAGAGTATCTTGAAGGCAACATCTATTGTTTATCCCGGCATGCCACATTATTCTTACATGTGGCATATTTGGACAAATATAAGGACAAAGTTCAAGAAGGGTCATCTAAAGTTAAGCGAATTGTACTTTGCCACGGCACGATCATACACGCTTGATGAATTTACTGAAAGGATGTCAAAGATTGAAGAGATTGACCCGCGTGTTAAAGCATACTTATACGATATTGGCTATCATAGATGGTCTCGAGTACATGCCACGGTGAACAGAACTTGGACTATTACATCAAACATTGCAGAGTCGTTGAATGCTGTAACAAAAGATGCAAAAAAGCTGCCGAATAGTAGAACTATTAGAGTATATGAGGACTCTTCTTGAACGTTGGACTAAAGAAAAGTTATTGAAAGCAAAGGGTACATTCACATACCTTGGGTTTAAATACAACAAAGAGTTGGATGACAACAGAACATTGTCGCACACGCTTAGACTAAGATCTGACCATTTATTGCATCAAAATAAATTATTAAAAGACAATGTAGATAGTTTGTAGATATTTTGTATTCTGATTGTACATGAATTGTTTTTTGTTTGTAATGTAATTGTAGGTGAGGGCTTCAACAGATTACATCCATACAGTACTAGATGGTGTCAGGCACTATATTGTTTGTCTTGAAACCAAGAGATGTAGTTGTGGGCAATTCCAGCTTGATGAACTTCCTTGTCCACATGCTTTGGCTGCATTAAAGCACAAGGATGAGTCTTATGAACAATATTGCTCTCCTTATTACACAAGGGAGAGCCTCTTGCTCTCCTTGATTGGTTTGTGAATGATTTCTATATATATAATACACAATTGTTTTATTATCTCTAGCACCCATCGATAGTTGTTAATGATCCCTACAATTTGTCGATGCCCCCTTTTTCTCGCGAAATCGGGTTTGCGACATTTGTGAGGACAACTCGTTCCCTTTTGGGAATTGGGTTTTAGAGTTGAAGAGTCGCCACCTAATGATTAAAGTGCATTAGGACACTAAAAGGGTTTGAGTTTGAAGAACCAGAGTTTGGGTAAGGGCTAGAAATTATCTCGAGGGGAAGGTGTTAGGCACCCCTCAAGATCCACTAGTGTGGTTCCCGGCCATGTTATAATTGTGACTTCACATAATCAAATAAGCAATTAAGGGCTCAAATAGAAGGGGTTTGCATATATTATTGCAAATAAGTTAAAACTGTGAGGAAAAGTAAAGAGGGCAGAAATTTGTGAAAGATTTAAACAAATTCTAAAGAAAGCAGATAAAAAGAAAAGTAAAGGGAAGGGGGTCCTAGGTTTATGATTAATATGGATCACGTCAATGCAATATCCAGTAATCACTCCTCAGAAGAGGGGCTACATGGGATATTAACGCATCGGTCATCATCTCCATATCTACCCTTCCCACCCTGTTAAGGTATTAAAGCGCAGAATGGTATCGTTACTTATTGCATGCTATTACCCGTCCCAATCCTATCCGTCCCGGAGGCATTGAGACTACTAATCCTAAAGGGGAGGGAGTTGGGGCTTTTCAGAGTTTCAAAGGATAAAAATCTAGGCAACAAGCAATAACAAATAGCAGTTAAAGGGAGCACAAATAGCAGTTAAGGCTCATACAGGCCCCCTCACTTAGAAGTGCAAATATAGCATGACTTCAAATACTGGTTTGGTCTGAATTAAATTAAGGCATTGGATAGGCGGATTCATCACATATTTCTCAGATGAGGAGTCTGAATTAGCCTTGTCTGGATATAGTTATCAAAGACTGACACAGTTACTTAATTACCTAATAGTTTGCCTAAGTGAGGCCTATAGGCATGACATCTATTAGAGCGTATTGATTTTAAGGAAAAAGTTTGTTGGTTTTATCAACAAAGATCTGCAGATTTATGACTGATTCTAGATTCAAAACGAAGTTGATTCAGTTGATTTGCCCCTATAGGCATGATCTCTAAGCGTCATTGGTTTTAAAATAGTTACATAAATGCAAGGGTCCTATAGGCATGGCATCTAGAATGAATTGGTTATTATTGAGCCTAAAATTGTTTGCCTAATGGCGTGTATATGCAGAAATGCAGAACTTAAAAGCATGAGTTCTAAAATGCAGAAATGCAGAAGTGCAGAAAGACTTATAGACATGTTTTCTAAAATGCAAAAATGCAGAAATTATACATAACCTATAGGCAAGTTTTCTAAAATGCAGAAATTATAAATAACCTATAGGCAAGTTTTCTAAAATGCAGAAATTATAAATAACCTATAGGCAAGCTTTCTCCCCTTTGCATGCATTCATCCCCCATCCCTTTCCACTAACCATCCCCAATAGTTATTACAAATTATTACAGGCCCGAATAAATCAGAAAAGAAAAGTAAATTACATCAGAAGTTCCAGATACATCCAAACAGCCTAATGCAGACTTAAAGTCCAACAATATGAGATAAACCAACTTCCAGGATCAGATTTCCAAAAGACCTTCTCATATTTGGGGTGTGTCAAAGTTCCCAAGAGTCTCAAAGGGCTCCGGGCAGTGCTTACACCCCAAAACATTGAAGAATTAAGAACATAGTGCAGTGTGGAAATGCCAGCCCTCAGATGTCCAAGTTCAGAGGGAGCTCAAGGTCCCAAGGCAAGGCTCATAGGAGGGGGGCAGAACTTAGAGTCTAAGAGTGAGTGTAACTGCATAGGGGGAATCAGGGAGAGCCATGGCAGACTGGTGGTCGTGCCCAGCAATTGGGATGCTGGCACACCCCTAACTAGCCTGTTGGACAAACTTAAGAGTTAGGATCCATTGTGGATCAGGTTATGGCCTGGGCAGTAATTAGGATACTGCCAGGCCAAGACCTTAACTCAAGCACATAGACGAGAATAGGGGTAAGGATTCGCACTAGAAACAGAAGCAAGGAAGGATCATAATTAGCACAAATCACTGAACATGAGCAGTAAAGTAAACAAAAAGGCTGAAAGTGTAAAGTAAACACATAGGGGTGAGGCAGAAAATTTAAATAAAAGACATACCAGTTTCAAAGGAAAACAAGTAAGAAAACAGTAGCCTTGGGAGAGCCAAGTTGCAAACAAAGCAGTTCCAAAAGATCTCAAGCAAAGCAAAGTGTTGGATTCAAACAGTATCGTAAGAAAGTATGTAATTAGAAGTGTTTTTTGTTCATGTGAATCTTTGTCCGTTTGTAAAGAGGGAAGACAGGCCTTTATATAGTTTTTGAAAACAAGCAGTACATTGGCAAAAAGTGCACAAACATGGAAATAGCAATCAATTAGTGTCAATTAAGACAACTAGAATCCTTTAATTAAGGAGTCTAGTTCAAACGGTTAGTCAAGGCAGAATAAGGAAAAGAAATCAGTTCAGTAAGGCTGATTAGGGCAAAGAAACCACATAGTGCATAAATAAAGCCAAATACATAGTGGGTAATTAAGGAAAGTTGAAATAATAGTGTGTTTACAAAGTAAAAATAGGGCATCAGTTCGAAAATCAATCAAGAGGACCCCGGTTCCAATTGTAATCACAGGGAATTAAGGTAATAAAGGAAAGAGTCACATAAATATAGAAATAATTCAAAAATTGGTACAGAATTACAGAAGATCATGTATTAAGGAAAGCATCACAAAGCATGGGATTTTTACACAAAAAGACCAAGTAAACAGCCGGTAGGGTAAAGGAGGTTCAATCTAAAAAAATCAGTGACAAATCATTGGCCTTATTAAAGGGATTTCAGAGTCAATCACTTGGTTGGTGAAAACCTTTTGAAAGAGGAGTTTTCTCATATATAAAGCACACAGCTCAAACAAAGAAAGAGTCTAACATTGAATGTCTTAGAGTCACAAGCAAAAGAGATTCAAGTTCAAATACAAGCTCTTAGTAAGTCTGAAAGCCTAGGGTTCCAAAGTGGAACCCTAATACAATTTACCCAAAGAAAACCCCCGAATCTTATGGTTTCAAATTGAGTCAGACAAAGAGGTGAGAAAACAAGGTCATTGAAAGAGGCTCAGAAAAAATATGCTTAGCAGGAACACGAATAGAGTTTAGTAAAGTGAGCAAAAAGAAAAGATTTCAACCATAAACACATATAGCAAAGAATAAGGGAAACAACACCGATTAATATGTGAGCATGGGAGGAACAGCAAAGAACAGAAAAGTCTTGCATAACAGAAAAGAAACAAGAGAGCAAACTCGAGCATAGTAAGAAGCAAACATACGAGCATAAAACACACATAAAGAAGGAACAGGAAGAATCAAAATTTGAAGAAATCCCTTTTTTCAGAAACCCTAAAATTGAAATTGAACAATTTTAAAGAGGAAATTTGGGGAAAACCTTTAAAACGTCAAGTAAAGACCAGGCATGGCACAGATCTAAGAAAATAAGTAAGTATAGAACCTCAGATGGCCTAGAGTTGCAAAGAAAACCCTAGAATGAGAAAGGTCTTGAGGAAAGTCGGATCCTGAGTCGAAGAGACTCATATTACTCGAACACGCCGGGAAAATGGCCGGAGAGGCCATAGGTCTACAGATCTGAGAAAGATCTGAAAGGAACCATTAGAGTCGAGCTTCAAATCTTCGAACAACTTAGGTTTAATGGTGAGAGAGGGTGAGCATAAGTCATCCATGGCCTGGAACGCCATGGATTCCGGTGGAATCATGGTGGAATAAGGTGGGAATCGATTAGGGTTTTGGAGAGGCTAGAGAGAGTTTGAGAGACGAAGAGGGTTCAAAGGCGGCATCTCTGATAGAATGAATTAGGTTTAGGGGGTATGGGAATTAAAAAGGAAAGGGGGAATCTCGGCCGTTGATCAAAATGATCAACGACCTGGATTAAAAGGGAGCGGAGTGGGTTTCAAATCGGGTCGTGGGTTGGGTTAAAATTGGAATTGGGTTGGTTTTAATTTGGGGCGGAATTGGGGGGGGGGGGGTCAAATTGAGGCTAGAATTGAAAATAAAAATGGGCTATGTGTTAAATAGCCAATTTCCCCCCTTTTTATTTTATAAAAATAGTAATAATGATTTTAAAACCAAATTAAAAGCACTGAACTAATTAATAATATATAAGTATTAATCCAAAAATACTGTAAATAATTTTATAATTGTAAAATGCTATTAATCGTAAAATAGGCTATAATTGTAATTATATGCAATCTAGCTTTAGAAATACCCACTAAATTTGTAAAAATATACAAAAATCACCTTAATTATACTTTGGTGCAAATATGAGAATAGAAATAAATTATTCACCAAAAATGATAATTTTGAAAATAATTATTGGATTTTGTACTGCTAGAAATAGACAATAAATTGATTTTAAAATCTTAAAAATTAGGGCAAAATACCAAAACTCTTGGGCATGCTTATATATGCATACACATGCTATTTTGAAAGTATTTTGAGTATGTGAATAGATAGGAAAAAAATTGGGTATCAACACAATTTATCTACAAAAAACCTACAAAATAACTACATAATATGGAGTTGACAGAGTAACTATGTAATAATTAAGTTGAAAAGGAGTTAACCGTAACAATAATTAGATCAAGTACTGTTTACTTTCAACAAGTAAATATAACAACAACAGAATGTTTCCCCATTGTTCGAACTAGTATACTGGATAAAACAAAAAAAAAGGGTAAAATAATTATAGCACAAATCTGCTACAATTAAACTTCAACAATCTTATTCATAAACTTGTCTACTATCTTTCTACAAAACTAGCTGCAACTAAACAATTTAACTACATGTTCCATACAAAAAATTGCAACTAATTCTTCTTCCTCAAGACTTGTGTTTTCTCGTTCAC